AATTTTCCAATCACAGTCCATTTGACACTGCCAAAGGCAAAATACATACCTTGAGATCAGGGATTGAGGTGAGGCCAAATATGCAATAAGGTTCAAGAGAGCAATATAATGGATTTTCTAGACAGACGAGCATAATTCCTTCTTATCACAACCTGGGGTCTTATGTTTGTAGATTTGGGGATACCGTTCGTTATCTTTGCGCTCAGCAAAGCTCATAAGGGCAAGAAACACGAGCAGTCAGATGATCAGACAGGTTGAAAATAAGTCAACTTTTATTTAATACGTCCAAATGATTTTATTTGAAGGGGAAAAAGGTTAATACAGTTCAATGAGACTGGCCAAGCAAAGATTTAAAGAGCATGACATTGCTGTAGGATCTCAAAACCTGAAATAGCAGCAGGTCATGTGGATGGCTGTACCAAACATCAGACTGTGACAATTTGTCAGCAGGGTTCGCAGCTTATTTCCTGCCAATGTTAATTTCTTTTCAGCATGATTCCAACATTTATTTAGCTGTCTGAACCAAACCAAACTTTAGAGGATGGGTTCTTTTCTTTTTCTTTTCATCTTATCCTAAATTTCCCATGCATTATGTATGTTGAAAGAGGTATTGGGTACTTTTTGGGTACTGAGTTAGTCAAAATAAATGTATTTTATTCTTTCTCTTCCAAAGTTAGCGGGTTGTCGTTAGTTGTGAACCTCAAAACAACATTTTAGTGTCTCGCCAGAGATTGAAGACTCAAAAATCCTAACCTGAAATAGCTTTTTACAATTCTCCTCTGATGTGCTGAACTGATAACCCTCAGACAACCGATCGGAGCTGTATTCTAACGATGTGAAAGCACCTCAAGAAATGCGGAAATAGCAGATTGTATACGTTAACAGCTTCTCCATTCAACAAAATAACTTTAATGAGCCGATATTTGAAAAATACAGTCGAGGCATGAGAGCACATTGCTCAAACAAATTGAAGTTATGTACCAGCCCTGTAGCAACAACAGAAAATAACAGCCCTATCTGAGCTGTCTTTGTAAACTTACCTAGCATCTACAATCTTGATTACATTAAAAACAAACAAACAAACAAACAAAACATCAGCTCTTGGTTGGAAATGGAACAGCCTGTTCAAAGCTACTGTTTTGTTGAACCATCCATCAACCCCAACCTCCTCTGCATGCAAACTTTATGTAAATAACATCCTCTGATAGTGTTCTTGATAAACTATAGACGATGGATGGATGGATGGATGGATGGATGGATGGATGGATGGATGGATGGATGATAGTTCCCTTGGGCGACACTATCTGAAGCTATCGTTCTTCTTGGGAAGACTTGTTCATGTGGGTTAATTGGGATTGCAATAATAAACAACCTATTATGTTATTCTGTTGGCGAACTTAAGTAATTCTCCAAATAGACTACATATAATGTTGTATAGATAGTTCAAAAAGTATTTTTCAATCCTGAAGTGCCGTTCAAAAACCAAATCCTTTGTTGCTCTTTGAACGAGAAAGTAAATAGTAGTTACCCTGCTGTTTTCTCCTATTTTCCATCCACAGAAAAGACTGATATCGTGCCATGAATGGTTAAAGATGAGAGTCACATCTTGACCGTTTTATTGGAGTTTAAAGTATATTTCAGTTAGTCTCGTAAAGGCACTGCAATATGAGGCAGCTGTGGTGAACACAGCCAGTGCAAAACACAGAAGTAAATCTCGACTGAAGTACTACTGTTATAATGTTTGGACAGACAGTAACTAAACGATGACTGATGTTGGGCACCATTTACCATTTGGAGCTCCACTTGCTGGAGCTCTATTGTGCTGCGCTCAACGGGGGAACCCAAACACAGGACGTGGTCTCAGAAAGAAAAAAGATCAACTTTATTGTGTACGCTCAGGGAGCGAAGGTGGATCGAGGTCAGGATTATATAGCAGCCGAAGGCAAGAGGGCTGAGGGAGGCTGTTGACTCGTGGAGCAGGAATGAAGGCAGGGTTGTGAGAGCGGCTGAAAGTCTGATTGAACAGGAAAACAAGCAGGTATGCGTCAGGTCAAAGCCTGGAATGAACTGTTCGAAGTGACCTGAGAACGTGATCCACCACACTGGCTGAAAGAACAACGATGAGGCGATGAGTGGGTGAAGAGTCGAGCAAGTTGATAAGTACATGGATAGCAGGTGTGCAGGCTGGTCAACAACCAGGCAGCCAGGAGACGGAGAGGAGCGGCACTCCATCAAAACAGACCCAGAGAGGGAAAGACGGGGCAGCAGAGGAGGCACGGGGGAAAGGGAAATACTAGAAATAAACGAAAGGCCGCGGCATGTTGAGAGAATTGCTCAACATATTTCCAACCTGCGTTCACCAGTGAGGTTTTGAACAGTTTCCTATTTATACGCCTCCTTACACACGAGACAGATATTCCAACCGGTTTTGCAATTAATATGCTAAGTGGTGCAAAGCCTCACAATGTCACTTTTCATTTACGTCTCCAGCTATGTTTATGTCTTTCACTCGTGTGTCAGTCTCTGCGCTGGGTAAACACCCCTCTCTGACAGCTGCTACACACCTTTTTTTCACCCTCTCTGTGCTCTCTCAGCTGTTACCAGCCGGTGACATAGGGGAGGTTGACAGGGAAGACATAGGTGACCACCTCAGAGCAGCCATCACTCACACATGCACGTATTTACAGACACGGGGCAGGCGCACACAGAAGGAGAGCTCCTGTGTAGGGAGGCCACGAGTGACCACCTCAGGGCGGCCATCACTTCGCACACACACATTGTATAAATACACACAGACAGGCAGTGCTTGTGCGGAGGAGGGTCACAGATGACCACCTCAGAGCACCCATCACTTCACACGCCTTCAAACACACACACACACACACACACACACACGCACACACACTTTTGCTTTTCCAAGCAGAGGGTTTTTTCCTCTTTACAGTGAAACACACACACACACACACACACACGCACACACCCTGATGGCCAACTGCCCTTTTGACGTACGCCCTGCCAGCTGGGAAAACATAGCTAGCTGCATGTGTCACCACCAACCTGGGCAGCACGAACGGAGCCTTGAAGAGGAGGTGATGGAAGAGGAGAAGGAGTTTGAGGTGGAAGGGGGGGTCACAGGGTTGCTTCTCTCTCATGTGAGAGGCTCAGGTGAATACAGGTGTTATGTCTGATTTAGTTGAACTTAAGTAAAAGAAGAATTTCTCACTATAAAAGTCCTGCATTTAAAATTTCACACTTTTAAAGACTCTCTCCAATGATAACTACATTTTTTACTTTGACGTGTACAAATGTTTTGATATATATATATATATGCTTGAGGATAAAAAGCAAAATAAGCAGTCAACGACTGAGCATTTCCACTTTGGAGCTGCAGTGTGCTGACTAGTTTCTGGTTCAAACATCCATCCATCCATCCATCCATCCATCCATTATCTATACACCGCTTAATCCTCACGAGGGTCGCTGGGGGGCTGGAGTCTATCCCAGCTGACTTAGGGCGAAGGCAGGGGACACCCTGGACAGGTCGCCAGTCCATTGCAGGGCGGGTCAAACATGCATGGCTGAAATACTCAAATATGAAGTGTGTCAGAAAGGTAAGATCCGTAAGACAGGAAAACACATTTTTGCTTAACAATGATACAAATATCGTCCAAAACAGTATATGCTACTTCACATTTTTATTGTTCTTTGAAATGTTTTGACACTTACTTCATGTGATGATCTTGTGTGTTAAGTCAACCTGGACCCGGAGGCGAGGGAAACCTTGTATTTAAAAAAGTCGGTGCTTTGAATCTCGAGGAAAGTCCGTGTACAGTGAATGAATAACACTGTTCTCTGTCAGCATCCATTGTCAAGGTGCCCTCAGACATCCATCTGCAACAGTGTAGTTGAAAGCTGTGAATGGGCTGCATGTGTAGAACTGTATCATTGAGATAGAGAACACCTTGTTCTTTTTCTCTCAGCAGGTGTGATCCAAATCCTGATCACTGCTGTCAAATGTATCTGACCATGTCTGCATCTGATCATTCATTCAATAAAATCTCATTGTCACACATGTTTGTTATCTCTTGAAGGAGGATTTTATTATTTTTTTACTGATGCTAACAGACTTTTATCCCTTGAAAGAGACATAAAAGTCGATTCAATTTTCTCCATCTGTGCTATGAGTCTCTAAAGCGATATCCAACCGTTCACAAATAGGCCCTACATGTACATATTGTGCTTTAAGTGTGTTTATCGTGGTGATGTTCATCTGTTTAATGCTTTTTGAAGATGTCTGTTCATTATGCTACAGCGCGCTCATGTCAAGTTGCATTATTTGCCCTTTTAAACAAGTAATAACAGGTGTTTTCTGTGCTGTATATAATTAGTTTTGTCATTGCAAGGTGCCCTCATCTGACTTTAAAGGTACCCATTTGATTTCACCAATTTGTTCACAATTTATGGCCTGACTGTAAAGCGAGACAGTCCTCTCATATATAACACTTCTATGGCTCATTTGTGGAAGCAACCTATTGTACAGTGCCACCCATAGTGATGTTTTATGGTGACAGCGCTCTCTTGAGGTCTGAACAAAGAAGTACATGAGGTGACATTCTACTAAATGCAAAATTTGGCATAGGGAGGAGATTGGGGTGGAGTAACGGGTCGACAAAACACTGGATTTTACCACAAGAGACAGTTGTTTATTGAAAGTTAGCATTTAGTCTGACCATGATCGTGACAATACATATCCTCTATTTTAATCCAAAGCCTAATGTTTCCCTCAATCTAACCAAATTGTTATTGCGTTATGTTTCCTTTCACTCATTGTGGCGCTAATTAAACAAGCACTGCTATGGGTCATATTGATGAAGTAGAATCACACAACCTATCTGGGAAGTCGGGTTGGACAAGTAGCACTGTCTTAAACTGTATGAAGATCTTGGGATGAATTGCACCCTCTTAACAGGAACATCCCGCTGTCTTTCTTTCTGCTGCAGAAACCCTTTTGAGCTTTGTGGACGACATCTTGTCCGGGGCCAGGTCTCCATGTGTGATGCTCGGGGACATCCCCAACCTGCTGTCCTCTTCCATCAGCATGATCATCCGCTGCCTGGAGCCCGACACCACGTACATGTGAGTATATTGTTGAACACATCAAGAAAACTAAACTTATGTTAGCTGATGTATGGACGTAGCTTAAAATGGGCTCTATTCAAATGAGCAGATCTGTGTCTGATGACTGAACTGCACCACAACTTTACATGCAACAAATAAGATTGTTTATCGTCAACACTGTCTTTCTTATTTTACTAACTTAACATACAGAGGCAAAATGAATCCTCATCTTCCTATGTAACGCTGGGTAAGATAGAAAACAACAATTTTTTGGAAAATAGAGTTCAACTTTTAACATTGAAACAACAATAGTGAAAAAATATAGCTTTAAGATGCTTAAGATTCCATATATGAATCCATTATTTTCATGATTATAGCAGTTTTCTAGTTCTAATCGCATTCAAATACATTTTTTTCCAACATTGTGAGCACCAAAGGTGAAAATATTCAGATCCTACACTTTGCACCCTTGATGTGCACACTTGTCTGAGCTCAGTTGCGTCAACATAAACACTTCGGCCACAAGCTATTACTATGTCATTACACATTCTCTTTAGATGACAGTAAAATGCAGGCTAGGTTAGGTTAAGTTTGGGCCTGAAAATCTTTAATAATTAATTTGTACCCACGAAGGTATAGGATACATTTCTAATTTAAAAAAAAGAAAGAAATAGAAAAACCATGTTTCGTTTCATGGGACATTCAAGTAGTTCTCTAGTCTCTCTGTGTGTGCCTGCAGAGTAAAGAGGCTTAACAATGGGATGCCGTGACCAAGATGTAGGTCCTTCTCTGAGCTCACACACACACCGGATGCTCGGATGCTCTCATATGCATGCTCACACTTATCTCACAGAGAGCTTGCCAGAAGGGAAGCCACACACACACACACACACACACACACACACACACGAATACTGCACAGAGGTGGATAGACAGAAAAGGAAAGAAGGGATAGAAAACAGGGCCAAAAAAACCACAGGGAATGTTTGGGATTGAGGAAGAAAAGAACAAAAAGAGTGAGAAAAAGACCAAGAGCGAGGAAGAAAACAGGGAATGAACAAAACAACAGAGAATGAAAAAAAAAGAAAAAAGAAAAAGGGCAGGAGGCCCATGGACAGAGCCCCTTCAAACAGTTTTGATGTATGTGGGCTGAGCGAGCAGCTACACATGCCCTTTTAATCCCGGCATCAGCGAGACTCCTGCTCTCTCTATCCTGTCTGACAGCTCATTCATCTCCTGCGAGCCGAGGCCTCGTCTCTCCCTTCAGGGCGCTGCACGCTCCTTGTATTTTCTATACAGACAGAACCCGTACAAAAGCCAGAAATTGGCGCCTTGTAGGGGGAAAATATATTGTGTGGCGAGAGGTATGTACATGCTGTTACGAAAGTATGATAGAGAAAACATACTCTGCAGCTGCATCAATAGCAAAAGTTCGGTCTTTGGGGATTCGTCGGATTCAAATGTTTAAAGTCTGCCTTTTGAATGGGGTACGCATACCTGTAGTTCATTTAATCTGCAACTGCTCAACTAAATAAAACAAGATCTGAGCTGACAAAATGTGTTTTTCCTTAGTCCGCTACCCTCTGTTAATGTTTGTATGGCTACCTCATTTTTTTTTTGTTGCTGCAGGTGGCTGCAAGTTGCATTTTGGCCACTAGGTGGAGATATTCATTCAGTGAAATCACAGCTGATTAGCTCTGCAGAGAAGTGCAAATTGTCAGTTTGGCACTAGAGAAAGGTCTGTATTGATAATGCAGACCCAACACAGGGAGGCTTTTAGTCGCAATAACATCTGCAGGAAATGCATCAGCTGTCATATGTTTGCTGCTGCTGATATGATGTTGGTTAAGCAGATTCATCAGAATACATTGCAGGAAATCAGCAGGACTGGGTTTGTGGGATGTTTTGTCGAAGAAAACAGCTTGCAGTCAACAGCAGTGTTGTTTTGTTTTTTTTTAATTTCTGTGTGTCTATATGGTTGTGTGTGTGTCGGTGCAGGTTCCGGCTTTGGGCAGTAGACAACACAGGGCGCCGTTCCAGCCCAAGTGAGGTCACCATCAAAACTCCATGTCCAACTGTGGATGACGTCAAAGCACAAGGTGAGGAAAGAGACCCAGACGAAAGTAAATTGTAATAACAGGTGGAGCACGGAGATGACTGTCATTTATCAACACTGAGATAAATTGTGATCCGGAGAAACTCAGTTCAGATGTATTTGTTCTAAGAAATATTTTTTGTTATAATATGATAATCTAGCAGGTCTGGGATTTTTTTTTTAAAAAGAAGAAAACCATGAAATCTGGTGGATTTAATTTTCTTAATGTTGTCAGGAGAGCTAATTTCCAGGACAGACATTTGCTCTCTCTGTCAGCAGTTATGTTTCAAGACCTCACAAAACAGATGTTAGATGAGTTCATTGAGCGAGTCATAAAGTCAGAGGGAGATAGCGTTCCTCTCTGGAGTAGGACTGTTTATGGACACTGTACGCTATAATCCTGCGAGGATATTGGCTATAAAAATGTGTTATTCCATGTCAAAAATTAAATCATTTGTCGCCCTCTGCACTAGTGAGAGCTTCACAGCAAAAATGTTATTGCGAATCCTGCTGCTGATTTAAATCAGCTATTGCAAGAATGCACTATCCAGTGAAGTGTGATACTACTGGGCTTTTGCTGTTGATTTTAATACCTGGAAATGCATAAATGGTGTGAAATGCAATACTTCCAGTGCACTGGCTCTGTTTTGAACTGACTTTATTGGCATTATCATCAAGAAGAGGGGGGATAAGTTCCTGACGATCCCATAAAAAGCTGATTAACATTTCCCAGTTGAAGAAAAAATCTCCAACCACTTTGTTGGTGATGATTTATTAATTCTAAAATGGTACGGATACCAAGATATGCATGTAAAATGACATCTGTCTTAATAATCTAAAAGTGGGCCTGTAGCAGAAAAGGAAATAGCATCACATCTCTACTAATGAAAGCCCTATATAATTTTCCCTCACCTGATGCCTGGGGAATAGAAGACTGCAATGTGTGAAAAGTCATTGTGACTATTAAAGAAGGTTTTCATTTAAAACTGCTGATTGATGTGGCATGCATTTAAAATGTCACCACTCCTGAGGGGATTCTACTCAGACACATCACCTCTGAAGTTGCTGTGAAATGGTTTTATTGCTGGAGCAATCCTTAATCTCAGGTGGATGAAGTGCAGACGTGTTTGTATTCAGTTCCATTCCATTTTCTTCCACTTTTCTGAGGTCAGGTTTCAGAGGCAGCAGGCTATGCAGGGCACTCCAGACGTCCCTTCACCTAGCAATGTTTACAGCTCATACTGGGGGATTCCAAAGCATTCCCAGGTCAGATGAAATGCGTCATCCCTACAGTGAGTTCTACGTCTATCTCAGGGTCTCCTCCCAGTTGGACATGCCCAGAAAACCTCCAAAGGAGGGCATCCAGAAGTCCTTATCAGATGCTGAAACCACCTTAGCTGGCTCCTTTCCAGCAACTCTACTCTGAGCTGGATGTCCGAGCTGCTTACTTTATTTCTAAGGGTGAGCCCAACCACCCTTCAGAAGAAACCCGTTTCGGCCCCTCCTACCCAAACCTCTTGACCGCAGGAGAGGGGAGGAATGTAGATAAACTGGTAAAGTAAAAGTTTTGCTCTCTGGCCAAACTCCCTCACCAATCTGTTGGTCCATCTCATGTTATACTTTCCCGTCATTCGTGAAAAGATCCTTAAAATATTTACATGATACATCTCCTTCGCTTGGGGCAGCAACTCATCACCCCTCTAGATGGAGCGATACTCTATTGTTCGGCCAACAACGATGGCCTCTGTCTTGAAGGTACTGACTGTCATCCCAGCTGCATCACACTCAGCTACAAACCGCTCCAGTGTGTACTGAAGATTGTGGCTTGATGAAACCAACACAACCACATAATCAGAAAAAAAAAAAAAAAAAGCAGAGATGTGACTCCAAGACTGTCAAACCGAACACCCTCCTCGCCCCGACTGCACCTTAGATCCTGTCTATGGATATCACCCCAAAAGGGTCGGAGACAGGGGGCAACCCCAGCACAGTCCAGTACCAACCAAAAACAGGTTTGACTTTGAGCCAAAAATCTGAATACAGCTCTCAATTTGGTTGTACAAGAACCCGATGGGCCACAACAAGGGTCTTGGTATCCCCTTGCTCCTGCAATACCTTCCACAGAGTTCCATACGGAACACTGTCATTGACCTTTTACAAGTCCACAAAACATGTGGAGTGGATGGTCAAACTCCCCCATGACCCCACAACAACTCTGCAAGGTAAACAGCTGGCCCAGTGTTCCACAGCAAGGATGGAATTGCTCCTCCCCAAGTTTCAAGGTTTCTATCAGTATCTGTTAATGTTGCTTTAGTCTTTGTTACCTGAGACAGTTTTGGTTTCTTACTGCAAGCATTCAAAGCTTTCCATAGTATTACCTAAGATGTTAATTAAAAATAAACTAATTTATCAATCTCTCTTAATGTCCTTCTAATAAAGGTAGTATTTTCATTTCCTCTCGCTATCTTTTCTCGCAGTTACTGAATGTAAAATAACAAAAAGGGCTACTTCAGATCACTAGAAAATCACCAGATCACCAGAAAGTCTCACTATGGGGTGGATTCGTCTACAACATTCCGATTTAGGGCGCGTACTGGTAATGGTGCATCCAAAACAGCAGCAAATAACATTTTGTCCAAAGAAAGCTGAGTCACCAACACTAAGTCTTCTTCCGTTCTCGTGCCTTGCAGATCATTTGAGATTAAATAGCACCAATCACTGTGTTTGGTAAACAGAAGTAAGCTTTGTGCTGATCACTGACATTCCCCCGTTATTTGAGGGTGAAGTTTAAAATTTTCATGCACGCTCTTATTTGCTGCCAGAAAGCTGTGAGAGCACCTACTTATCTTTGATTGTCCGTGTCCTTTCAGAAATTGCCGATAAGATCTATAACCTGTTCAACGGCTACACCAGTGGGAAGGAGCAGCAGACGGCATACAACACTCTGATGGACCTCGGCGCTCCCACACTGCACCGTGTGCTCTACCACTATAACCAGCGCTACGAGAGCTTTGGAGAATTCACCTGGAGGTGTGAGGATGAGCTTGGACCCAGGTACAGTTATCAGTTCACTCATTTATTCTTGTTTATCCTGCCTTCAAAGTAAAATGCCAGTCTCTAAGAGAAACTTACAAAAGATGTCCTAGTTTTAGAAAATGCTTATGGATTGCCCTTTCTTTTTAATACTGCTGTAGATAAAGAGGGGAAATGACAAAAACAGGGAGACTGTTAAACAAATGAAACTCGGTTTGCATTTCAGAAATGCCCACATCTCTGATGTGTAACCTCAGATCAGAAATATGCATTCCTTCCAGCAAATTGATCATCAACTTTAGCTTGATCGCCAATTTATCAGGAGAACCCAACAATATACAAAGCCCTGTAGGTCTGTCCTGAGTCAGACTTTTACAGAATACCAAAACACTGAGCCATCTTAATAATGTGTAGACTGTGCTCACTGTAATCAGTCTCTGAAATTGCAGATGTGTGTGTGTGTGTGGGTGTGTGTGTGCGTGTGTGTGCGTGTGTGTGCATACTCCATTCATGAGTTGCCCTCCCACCAACAAAATGCAATCTGTCATACTGAACTTGTGCAATTGACACTGACATCTTCGAACAATAACAGTGCAGCCTGGCTGCAGGATTCAAGAAAAGTGGCAACTAGACAAAAATCTGGGTTGGATCACAGTTTGGTGTGAACACCACTTTAAAGAGCAATTTTAGCAGATGGTCCTTTAAAAAATAAAACAGTCACCAACAATCTCAGCAATGCTGTGAAACTTAGACACTGATTTAGCTGTTTGCACTTCATAAAAATTAAACAGATGACAGACTTGGACTGGATCAAAATTACAGATATGCTCCATTAGTGATTACTTTACCCCCTACTGAGAATGTGAAACTCTTCCCATCATAACAGTGATTCATTGACCTCACTCACAATCCAACTACTTGTAGACTATCAAGTGTGCTGATCAAATCATTACTCTTGTCACTGACGCACACTTTGTATGTTTCAAATTTTAAACAAATACCATGAAAACACAAACATCTTTAGTGAATTGCTTCTACTAACTGTGTCTGTGTATCCAGACACTGATAAATCCTAAACATGTGTGCCACAGGACTCTGAAACTATTAAAAACACACCATTGAACTGGATGATTTGTTCCATCATTACCATAAACATGGGCGCTGTGGTTTATTTTGAGTCAATCCCACAAACACCATCCTGTCCTCTTTGAAACACAAAATGTGCTGCTGAAAATAATCCAAATTAAATACACATTACCCTGTTTGAGTAATGTTTGAAACTACAGCATCCAACTATCTTAAGAATTATGTAGCTGTTTTTTTTTAATGGAAAAATGTATGATAGTATTTTTAGGGCCACATAACTGATATCACCCAATTTTTTAAACCAAGTAAATATCAGCATCAGTGCATTTCCATCACATAGGGGCCAGTAGGGAACTCCTCAGTCTCTAGTAACAAAGTGCAGCCTTATTGACTTACGAGCAATTTGGTTTAGATGCATTGTAGAGAGCTGCATGTGACAACATGACAAAACACCATTTTCTGTTGTTTGACATGTTCAGCTCTGCACATCTACCTCTCCAGAAAAGCACCCGTTTTATTACTTCTCAGCTTTCGTTGCCTGGATGCGTGTTCAGTCTGATGTATTCTGTCGCCTTTTTCATCACACTTCAGTTTGCTGTTCCTCATAACCAAATCAATATGGCCCCTTGCTTTCATTTTAGCAAAGTACCACTCAGTGATAACATGCATAGACACTTCAAAATGTGCTAAAAATCATCCCAACCCTGTTTTTTAAATTTTCAAAAAAAGCACTAAACAAAACCAAAACAAAGGTAATCCTATCTAAGCAAAGGATTTCCTTTGCACGTTTTTCAAAGCGAGCTGTAATTTGTTCCAGTGTTATTACAAACGCATCCTGCAGTGGCCAGATCTCCATGATATCAGCTCATTGAGAGCTTAGCAGCGTCCCGCTCTTGTCTTGATTCTCAAAGGTGGGCAGATGTTCCGCTCCGAGCTTCCAAAGTGCTGTCTTTGATTGTAGGCGGTTGTTTGTGTGAATTAGAGTTACGGGGCAAATTCATTCAAACTGACTGGGAAGCCGAGCGAGCTTAACCCCTGTGACATCACCGGGGGCCATTAAGCAGCTCACAACCACGTAGGGCCCCACAATCCCCCCTCCAGAACTACGGATAAGTACCCATAATGTAAAATTGTAGCTTAATGTTTTATAAACAGAGCCATGTGTCTGATATAAAATATACTTATAAACAGCAGTCTGTGGTACATGCTTTCACTTTGGCAGGTGAAACTGATTAGCCAAGGCTCCCTTAATTCTGTGTGTTTCTCTCTGCGTCTGTGGGTTCCCCCGCCCTAAATGAAAGGTCGTTTTTAATAGGGACCATGCTGGAAAGAGTTGATGTAATTGAGGGAGTTGCTTCTGAAGTGTTCCATTAAAATACACTTAGATTAACAGCCCCCCAATTTAGTTAAAGGGAGGGGTGATTAATGTTAATAAAGGCACCTCAGAGCTGGAAAAGCAGCAGAGAAGTGCATTCAAGGTGAGGCCTGGCAACCGGGGAAGGAAGTATAAACATGTTTGGTTTAGCCAAGTCATCAAATGAACATTAGACTTTCCTATGTATCTCCAGTAGTTTGGTGTGAGTAAAGACTCTGTGCTGAAGCGGAGTTGTATGCTGTCTATTGTTACCAAGCGAGCGAGCAGGCAGAGAGGTTAATGGGCTTATAGCTCCGCCGCCGAGTGTCTGAGTGTGCTGACAACTTCCCCACGGCGTCAGGCAGTTTGTTTCTCTGACGTTATTTGACCCGTTGGGAAAAACAAATGCAGCAGATAAATGCTTGCACCTACGCCAGGACAGAAATACTACTGATATCATTTTTAGCAAACCAAAATAATAGTCATGCATAGTTTCTGGCTTCTCAAGCATCCAGTATTGATGTTGGCCTGGTCCTGCAACAAGCACCTCAGATCATCTTGATCATTGTCATTCAGCTGAGTGAGGGCTGACTCTGAAAGTGGGGGAAGTGCAAATCGAATCCAGACTTGCTCATTATGGACATATTAGGATAAAGATTAAATTTCTGTTTTAATCCAATCAGAATTATCAATCAGGCGCCTTATACACATTTTCTAAGCCAGTGATTTGTTGGGATAAAGTATCACAGTGTAGTCAGGCTGGTAAACACCAGGGATGAGTGGAGTTTCTACTATTTATTTGACCCTACACACAGTTTGTTGTTCTTCTTTTTCCAGTTCTTCTTGTTCTTACCAAGAAGTATTTCAATCACAGAAAGCATAAAATTCAGGAACAGTCAACATGGATCAGAATATTTGTCTCCTGTGTGCTTATTGTAGTCACAAATCACTCACCAAGTCCATATGAGAGTCCATATGGATTCCTCTGGAGATGGCAAGGTGCAGCCCAAAATTTGTGTCCCCACAAACAATCCCCGCAGCAACAATACCACAAGAACAATGGTTGGTAGTCGTGAGTATGCACGACATATGTAGACACAACCTGCTGTGCATGTATGCAACAGAATGGTCCAGGTGGACTCCTGGAGACTGGAAAGGTAGCACAGTAGCAACAGGTAAGCATCTGTTGGTGTCTGTAGCAGTCAAAGTGCACCTCTGGAAGAGTGTAACGAAGACTTCAAAAGGTCAGTTAAGGCAGCATATTTTAAATGTAGGTCCAAGTAGTGCTGATTCAGATTTGAAAGACCAGTGTGTAGGATTTAATGATATCTAGCAGTAAGATTGATTGATTGTTTGTTTGATTGATTGATTGATTGATTGATTGCACAAAATCGAATACCTTTTGCCTCACTCGTCCTTTCCATGCATGTAAGAGAAGCTACAATAACCACTAAGAACCCTAAAATCAACAAAGTCCCTCTGTAGATGTGGTATTCGATTTGGCGACTTGGCGATTATTGCAGCTTAGCTGGACAAGATGACAGCCTCTATGGGCAAGAACCCACTACCTATGTACTATAGATAGGAAATTGTTGCACGGCTTTCAGAGCGCGACCTCACCGGTGCCATGTCCTGTGTGAAAGCAGCTTAAAAGGCTGTATTGTAAAGCAGTCAATGTAATGGAGAGGGAAATCAAGGGATTTGAATCCGGGGATTGTGTCTCAATGTGGCATGTGGCTCAGTCAGTGGCTGACTGACCGTTTCAGACAGAGATGAACACAACGCCTGACACAGTAGCTTGTAGGCTGGAGGTTGGTAGTTGAAACAAACCTGCAAAACACTGGGAACCAAATACTACTGGAGGAGTTTGACTGACAGTTCTACCACAGAAGTAGGAAAAACAATCTGGTAAAGAGTGGAGTGATGAACCAAGGCTGCTGCAGCAAGTGATTGGTTG